TTCTATAGTCCTGGTATAATTTATATAGTCCAGGTATACTTTATATAGTTGAGGTGTACTTTCTATAGTTGAGGTGTACTTTCTATAGTCCAGTTACACTTTCTATAGTCCAGTTATACTTTCTATGGTCCAAGTATACTTTCTATAGTCAAGGTGTACTTTCTATAGTCCATGTATACTTTCTATAGTCAAGGTGTACTTTCTATAGTCCAGGTATACTTTCTATAGTTCAAGTATACTTTCTATAGTCAAGGTGTACTTTCTATAGTCCAGGTGAACTTTCCATAGTCCAGGTGTACTTTATATAGTCCAAGTATACTTTCTATTGTCCATGTTTACTTTCTATAGTCCAGGTATACTTTCTATAATCCAGTTGTACTTTCTTCTGTCCATGTTTACTTTCTATAGTCCAGGTATACTTTCTATAATCCAGTTGTACTTTCTTCTGTCCATGTTTACTTTCTATAGTCCTGGTGTACTTTCTATGGTCCAGGTATACTTTCTAAAGTCTAGGTGTACTTTCTATAGTCCAGGTGTACTTTCTATAGTCCAGGTGTCCTTTCTATTGTCCAGGTGTACGTTCTATAGTCCAGGTATACTTTCTATAGTCCAGGTGGACTTTCTATAGTCCAGATGTACTTTCTGTAGTCCAGGTGTACTTTCTATAGTCCAGTTGTACTTTCTATTGTCCAGCTATACTTTCCATAGTCCTGTTTTTTTTTTCTATTGTCCAGGTGTATTTTCCATAGTCCAGGTATACTTTCTATAATCCAGGTGTACTTTCTATAGTCCAGGTGTACTTTCTATAGTCCAATTGTACTTTCTATAGCCCAGGTGTACGTTCTATAGTCCAGGTATACTTTCTATAGTCTAGGTGTACTTTCTGTAGTCCAGGTGTACTTTCTATAGTCCAGGTGTACTTTATGTAGTCCATGTATACTTTCTATAGTCCAGGTGTACTTTCTATAATCCAGGTTTACTTTCTATATTCCTATTATGCTTTTTATCGTCCAGGTGTACTTTCTATAGTCCTGGTGTACTTTCAATAGTCCAGATATATTTTCTATAGTCCAGGTGTCCTTTCTATTGTCCAGGTGTACTTCCTATAGTCCAGGTATACTTTCAGAGTCAGAGTTTCTTTATTGTCATTCGCACCTCATGTGGTACATGTGGTGGAGCGAAATTATGTACGCAGGGTCCCAGTTACATCCAACAATAAAATGTATAAGGAAAACAGTAATAACATCTAAGATATGAACTAAGAAAAACATCAACTAAATATACACTAAGCACTCATAACATAAAACATTGAACATCAGCACAAACATGAACATGAGTCTGTGAGCGGATGATCACGCATGAACACATCAACATTGAAACAGATCAGCAGCAACATGAAACAGATCAGCAGCAACATTATATGGTTTTTCACAGTGATTATTCTAGTTAGAGATTCATGAGTCTAACAGCCTCAGGGTAGAAGCTGTTCCTCAGTCTAGTGGTTCTACACTTAATGCTCCTCAACCTCCTTCCTGAGGGGAGTGGGGCAAAAAGTGTGTGTGCTGGGTGAGTGTGGTCCTTCATGATGCAGGTGGCCCTCTTCCTGCATCTGGAGGTGTAGATGTCTGTGATGGTGGGGAGACTGATTCCAACAGATTTCTGTGCAGCCTTCACCACTCTCTGTAAAGCTTTTCTTTCTGCAGCTGTGCAGCCTCCATGCCACACATTGATGCTCGAGCACAGTTCTATAGTCCAGGTATACTTTCTATAGTCCAGGTGTACTTTCTATAGTCCAGGTATACTTTCTATAGTCCAGGTATACTTTCTGTATCCCAGCTTTACTTTCTATAGTCCAAGTATACTTTCTATAATCCATGTGTACTTTCTATAGTCCAGGTATTCTTTCTATAGTCCAGGTGTGTTTTCCATTCGCCAGGTGTACTTTCTATAGTTCAGGTATACTTTCTATAGTCCAGGTATACTTTCTATAGTCCAGGTATACTTTCTATATCCCAGCTTTACTTTCTATAGTCCAAGTATACTTTCTATAATCCATGTGTTCTTTCTATAGTCCAGGTATTCTTTCTATAGTCCAGTTGTACTTTTTTCTGTCCAGGTTTACTTTCCATAGTCCTGGTGTACTTTCTAAGGTCCAAGTATACTTTCTATAGTACAGGTGTACTTTTTATAGTCCAGGTATACTTTCTACAGCCCAGCTTTACTTTCTATAGTCCAGATGTACTTTCTATATTCCAGGTGTACTTTCTATTGTCCAGTTGTACTTTCTATTGTCCAGGTAAACTTTCCATAGTCCTGGTTTTTTTTCTATAGGCCACGTGTATTTTCCATAGTCCAGGTGTACTTTCTATAGTCCAGGTATACTTTCTATAGTCCAGGTGTACTTTCTATAGTCCAGGTGTACTTTCTATAGTCCAATTGTACTTTCTATAGCCCAGGTGTACGTTCTATAGTCCAGGTATACTTTCTATAGTCCAGATGTACTTTCTGTAGTCCAGGTGTACTTTCTATAGTCCAGGTGTACTTTATGTAGTCCACGTATACTTCCTCTAATCCAGGTGGACTTTCTATAGTCCAGGTGTACTTTCTGTAGTCCCGTTGTGCTTTTTTTCATCCAGGTGTACTTTCTGTAGTCCAGGTGTGCTTTCTATAGTCCAGGTGTACTTTATGTAGTCCATGTATACTTTTTATATTCCAGGTGTACTTTCTATAATCCAGGTGTACTTTCTATAGTCCCGTTTTGCTTTTTA